TTTCCACGCGGAATCGAGATTTTGGCCTCCTAACACGCGTATCTTTGCTTTGCAGCATGATTGGGCTCATGCTGGGAACCTGCATTGCTTTCTATGTCGTCATTGGGGATTTGGGATCCAACTTCTTTGCCCAGTTGCTTGGCCTTCAGGTAAGCCTCGTCTCCCTGTGGCATTGGTACAGGACAATACTCTGATGTATTGCCAGCTTGGTACATTGTGCTGAGCATGTGTGATGACAGGGTGAAGAGTATCATCGCATTGACCGTGTGTTCAAGATCCAGCCGAGTCATTTAGTACGTTTCCACTTTAAAACCTGATGGCGAGTTTCTTGAGTGTCTTGCCTGATGAATCCTGGAGCCTGGCACAGCAGGATGTGGAAAACTGTGTACAAGAAACAGCAATTGCAGCAAGTCAGACCTTTGTAAACTAGCTGGTGTGGTGACTTGTGTGGCCCAGTGCAACTCCCACAGGCATTTTCTATGGGAGCTGGTTTTTTCCACCCCCTTCCCAAAGTTGTTCTGTTCAAGCCATCATCCCACTTTGTGCTCTTGTCCATAATCCTCCTCTTGCGCCTAAACTTATCCCTCCACTTGACTATCCCAACACTGGCTGTTCCAAGGCTGTCCCTCCTCTCTGATCATAGTGCTGTGTGCCAAGGAGCAATCCATGGCTGCTGGAGCTGGATGAGGGGACAGGCCAGGGAAGCTAAATGGACATGTGGCTTGGCTGTTATCTGCTCCAGCCTGATGCTGTTAAGCTCTGATTAAGGGACTGTGACGTTAGATGAAGCTTCGTGGCCGCAGCCAAATTAGGTATTAAATATTTCCAAGCATTTCAGAGTGTTCTGCTATAATAAATACCAATATGAGGTTCTGATTAATTTTCTGATCCGAATTTCCAGGGCTGCCATTTCTTTCTCCTTGGTGGCTTTTATTTATTTATTTTTTGAAGCTAGGTTAGTTTTCATCTAATTGCTGGAGATGTGTAAAAATATTCCAGCGGCTGGTGCTTGGATTACCATT